AGCAGCGCTGCCTTGGGACCGCATTTCCCCCCTGGCTTGCAGTGGGTGGATTTAGATTTGATGAAGAAATTCTCTGCTCTAATTGCATCGTGCCCCTCTCTGCCAGGCTTTGAAAATCCTGCCGGGACAATTGGAGGGTGTGGAGCTGAAATGAAAGGAGCTGGGCAGGGTGGGGTGAGGCAGAGATAAGTGGCTTTGAGCTGGAAATCCTAAAAGTGTCCTGAGGGGAGCACTCGGTGCTGCCTTGGGGGGCTTTGTTCCTATTTTTTAAATTATTTTCCTGACAGGGATCAGTGTCTGTGAGCCTGGCTCCATTCCAGTAATTCCTGACAAAACTGGAAAGATTTTTTTTTTTTTTTTTTTGTATTTTGTGATTTTTTTTTAAATTAAATTTTAAGGTCCCAGAATGGTTTGGGTTGGGAGGGACCTTAAAGCTCATCCAGTGTCCATGGGCAGGGACAATTTCCAACATCCCAAACCCCATCCAAGCTGCCCTTGGACACTTCCAGGGATGGGGCAGCCACAATTCCCTGTTCCAAGGTCTCCCCACCTTCACGGGGAAGAATTTTTTTCCCTAATGTCCAATGTAAACGTGTTCCCTGACAGTTCAGATCCACCCCCCTCGTCCTGTCACTCCTATAAATCCTTTCTTTGGATGTGCTGGAACCATTCCAGCTCTTGCCTGCTGCTGGAATTGACTTTTTCCAGAAATTTCAGCTGGTTTAGAACTGCACTTTGTGCTGCAGGTTAAATAACAAGTGCTGTGTGCATGAAGAAAATATTGTTTTGGCTGACTCTTACCTTGAGCATTATCTTATTATTATATTTTTATTGATAAATTCTGTCTTGGAGTCCTCCAGAGCCAAATCATTTCTTCATGTAGTGAACTTCAAAAAATAAAATTGGGCATGGAAACCTCCCCCCCCTCACTCCCTCAGATGTAACTCATGGAATGAGGAGTTCATGGGTTTTATTGATTAAATTTTTTTGCATTTGTAGTCACTGTGGGGATTTATCAGAGTTCTGAGTATAAGGATTGAGTTAAACAAATCCAGAGATGTATTTTAAAATATATATGTGTATATATTTATATATATTTAACATATATTTGTGTGTGTTGGTAGAACTGAACAGCACAGTCTGATTCTGGATGTTTAAGGGTTTTCAAGTCATTAACAGAAATTAAATAATTCAGATGTAGTGGCTGGCTCAAAGGGCTGCTTTAAGATGAATTAAATGAAATTTGGGTTATTTAAAAACCCCTTAATTGGGGTTTTAATCTCAGTCCTGGATTTCAGCATCCAGTGACCTCCCATGGCATTTACAGGTTATTTTTATTATTTTTGTTCTTGAGATTCCTCTCAGTGGCTGCTTCTGGTGGCAGGGACATTTCTGGTGTCATATTTGGAATATTTCATTGAAGAGCAGTGTTTAAATGTCTGCTGGTTGCTGTACAGAAGTCAGGATTTGGATTTCCATGATTTTTGTGGGTCTTTTCCAGCTCAGGATATTCTGTGATTCTGTGAATTTTTTTTGTGTTTTCTGCAGCTGGAGAAAAATAATGGTAATATCATGTGGGAAGAGGAGGTTGATCTGTGAGGAGAACTAAGTGAGGGTTATGTCCTTTAAAACCACACAAGCACAAAAAACATGTTTTAATTTTAAGGACAAACACTCTACATTTAGAATGCCATTAATTATGCTGAAAAAAAAAAATCCATGTAAAACTCTGCTATTCTTAAAAAAAACCCTGAAATGAACTGTTTATTCCTTGGAGTTGTGAGAAAGAGCCCTGAGCTTGGATTTAATGATGTTTAATCATTCTTTCAAAAACACAAAGGAGGCACTAAAAGCTGTTCAGCTGAGCTAGAAAGAACTAATAGCTATAACTCAGATTCAAAAGTGATTTAGTTCCAGAGGTAAATCCATAATCCCACCAGTCAGGAGTTAATCTGTCATCAGACTAAGACTAGAAGCAAATCTATTTAACTAAGAATAGTTAATTCACCTGAATCAGAGCAGGGATGAAGATGCTGCTCACCAGAGTTTATTTGGAGGAAATAAAATATTGATGATGGAGAATGGAAAAACAGCAAGTGGCTTTCAAAGGGGGAGGGGAGAAAAAAAAAAAAAAATCTCCTTTGGAATTTGTTCTGCTCTTTTCCTGCACTTCCCAGGATGGTTGGACCTGCTGGTTTGGGTAATGTGGAAATGAGTCAGAATAAGGAAGGAAATATCCTGTTTATCCCCAAATTTGGGAGGGTTTAGGAGCAGCTTATTTTGTGGCATCAAACCCAAATTCACCTCTCCTTTTTTTTTTACTCTCCTTGTCCTGTTGTTGTTTCATCTCAGGACAAATTGAAGGGATGAACTTTAACCTCTTAGGAGGATAATTTATTAAAATAACAGATGCTGCAGAATGGGGCCTGGCTTGATCTGCAGTTCTTAAGGAAGATTAACAACCTGAGAGTTCACAAATCAGGGTCCTGCTTCTGACCTCGGCTTGTGGGCAGGACAAAGGCACCACTCACATCCTGTAATTCAGGGGGAAAAAAAAAAGAAGATTTCAGTCAGCAAATCGGCAATAATTCCATCAGGAAATGGCAGGGAAAGGTAAATTTGAACAAGTGAAATTCTTCCTTTTGTACCAAAAAAAAAAACCAGAGGTGCAAACCTCGGGCGAGGCTGGGGCTGAAAACACCAAATTTAGTTTAATTTCTGCCACTTCAGCTCCCCTTTTGGACACTGAGGAAGAGCAGGGATTTATTTGTGGATGATTTGGCTTCTCCCAGCACAAACCAGGCCCAGCAGCTGAGCAGGGGAAGAGGATGTGTAAATCCCTTAATTCTTTGTTGGCAAGAAAACACAGAAGCCCTTGGTGGAGCCCCAGGGTCGAAGTGGAGGGCTCAAGAGATTTTTCTGAGCTGATTTTTCCAGAGCTGGGCACACAGCAGCACTCTCCATATGGGAATGTGGGAATTTCTATGGATCCTGAGCAGAAATCCCATTGAGGCTTTGCTGGGCAGACAAATGAAACCCCAAAACCCTCGCTGCGTTTGGATAAATTGGATAAACTGGCTGGGATTTGCTCATTTTTACCAATTCACAGCATTTATAAAACCCAGAGAAAATTTTCTGCTGTTGTAAAACCCAAAGAAAATTTTCTACTGTTAAAAAACCCACACGAAATTTTCTACTGTTACCAAACCCACACAAAATTTTCTGCTGTTACGAAACCCACGCAAAATTTTCTGCTGTTCTGCCTCACTCCTTTGGGGTTAAAAACCCAAATAATTGATTGGCAAGTGAAAGCAAAGCAGATGATGGAGAGGGCTGTCAAAACCCGGCGTTATTTTTATCTCGGGATCCTGAAGGAGTCGGAGGCTCCTTCCCAGCCTGTGGAATTTTGATGCTCCTTTCCTCGTCTGGCTTTTATTGCCTCGGGGATGGCTCTGACACCTCGCTGGGACTGATGGCTCGAGGATTTGCTCGTGGCACGGCTTCCTCCTTAATCCAGCAGAGATTTCCCCGGGATGGATCCGAGTTTTGTTCCCAAAAGAGCAGCAGAGGAGTCGCCAGAACTCAGCAAGTGTTGGCTGCGTGCTGTAATCCCTCTTTGTGTCACTCACAAAGGGATCCTGCCAGAGCCTGGGATTCCACTGCTCCTGCATCCCTGCGGCAGCCACGGGAGCCAGAGCTGCTGCAGCTGCCAAACTTCACCTCATCCCTGTGCCAGGGACGCGTTTGGGGCTTGTTCCATTGAAATCCCCTGGGTTTTGAGGCAAAATTGATCGGTTTTGGGAATGCTGGAGGTGCTCGAGGTCAGAATGTAACCGGCTCTGCCTTTTGCACTCGTGGAATTGTTAAAACTGGAAAAGACCTTTAAGGTGATCAAGTCCAAAATGATGTTGGATTTTGTTGTTACTGAGAAGCTGGATGGGATTGGAGTAGGATTTTCCTAATTTTTTTGGTGGTTTTAATCCATAATCTGTGAGCTGTTGCTGTGAACCTCAGCTCTGGATGTGTCGTTTTCCTGCTGATCCGTGATAAATGGGATGTGCTGAGAGCGGGATCATAACGGTTCAAGAGCGTGGGGAAAAGCAGAAATGTTTCCTGCAGGCTGGGAAATGCAGAGATTTGTGTGGCTGGCTGGGATTTAAAGGAATGATAAGGCAGGGAAAGTGGGAATGTGAGGGAATGCTGCAGATCTCTGCCCTGCTTTGTCACCTTGGGGTGATTTGGTTTAACCTGTCCCTGGAGCAGGATCCCCGAGCAGTGAGAAGTGTGAAGGGAAGCAAAGATGCCGAGTTTGGTGCGAATCCCCACAATTTAAGGATGAGGGGGCACAAAAAAAAGGGAATTTCCAACAGATTTGGACTCAGTGCTGCTGATTTTGTATCCTTAAAGCTCCTGTTCCAGGAGGGAAGTTTGGGTGGAAAAAACTTCAGGATTTGGGACATCAGGACATCCTCACACAGAATTCTTTGGGAATTCCTGAGTTGAAAAGTGAAATTAGAACTTTTTTCTCAGTCAGAATCAACTCTCAGCCTGTTCTTAGTTCTGTTCTTTTTCCTGCTCCAGGCTGATAATTCCAAATGTGTGGTTTTGCTGTAATTGCTTCAGGCTTCTCCAGGT